CTGCTTCCCAGTGACCTGGTCCACTTGCTGATTTAGGAGGATTACAAAATCTTACCCTAGGAATGTGGTTGCTTCTACCTCAAGTAAACCTTTTATGTAGGGTGTGGTCAGAACATCTGAAAGAAAGGTTGGGAGCTCATCCAACTTACAGAAGAGGATGTCCCGACTGTTTTTGTGCCAGCTTTGCTATTAAATGCAGACTGATGTTTTATGTATACAGAATTCTAAATGTGCTCATATTTAGCAGCAAGATTTAAAGAAGTAGCTCATACACCAGATCAGATCAGACACATGATCTACCAAATACAACAGGCTTGGTGACCCTGAAACACGCCTGGTTGGGACATGGAGAAGGGCTTTTAGGAAATTGTTTCTGAAAAATTCTCTTACAGGGAAATGTCTATAAAAATTGCAAGTTGTAAATGATGCTTAGACTTAGACCAAATCTTTGTACCTACGGAGAGCTCAGAAAGTATGAATGATGAGAGAGGGCAGTGGTAATAGCGGTTTATGTAGACAAAAGGAGTCAACAAACCACAGGCCACATCCAACTGTCCACAAAGGAAACAAAATGAAGACCAGGTCCCTGGTGCTTTGTAAAGGATTAGTAAAGACCTCTTAGACTAGAAGACACAAATTGTCTTGGCCTGAGGAAAGCAGCCCTTAGAGGAGTTTGTGCACACGGCTGAGGTTTTCAAATGTATGCACACTCATCAATGTCCGTGCACAATCTGTATGCCAAGAACAGTCCCAGGGACACAAAATCATACTTAAGGGTTGGTGGTTGTTGTTTTTTAACTGAATGACCTTTTACCAATTGCTGTAAAGTACAATTGACTTTGTAAAAATTGAGGACTTGCAGGGAGCATCCTACTTTGTAATTTGAGGAACCTAAGTAGGGCACAACCCACCTGGTAACAAGGGACTAAAATGCTAATGTGGATTTTAGCGTCTGGGCCAGGTTACTGAGAGACGAATCAGCTTTCAATTTTGACTTTGTTAACTGAATTGAGGAAGTGGCAACAAACGTCTATATACAAGATGTGCTGTGGGGTTCCTTAAATAAGAAACTTCTCTAAAAAAAAAAAATGAAAAAAAAAAGATTAAAAAAAAAAAAAAGGATGCCTGGGTGGCTCAGTGGTTGAGCATCTATCTGCCTTCGGCCCAGGGAATGATCTAGAGTCCCGGGATCGAGTCCCACATCAAGTTCCCTGCAAGAAGCCTGCTTCTCTCTCTGCCTGTGTCTCTGCCTCTCTCTCTCATGAAAAAAAAAAAATTAAAAAAAAGATTTAAGGAATTCAAGCTCATAGATTTATTTATAGGACAATTATTTAAACAGAGACAGGCCGATAAATAGAAGAACCAAGAGTTACTGAGTACTACTCAAAACAAAGCATCGCTTAAATGCTGAGGCATGGTTGAAGATGATGGATATAAAAAATTAGGTTTTTATCCTATTCTGAATAACCAGTCACTCAACAGGACTTCGGGATATTGGGATGAAATTATTCAGATAAAGCCATGTTTAAAGCCACAGAATTTCATACTATGGCCACAAAGAGCAGAAAGCCTGCAGATTGCTGCTCGTCCTGCATTCCAACCCTAATGTCTTCCCACTCCAAGCTGGAGACAGGGCTTCAGTTCCCACGCCCCAGGGAGAGCTCTGTGGTGGTTTTAGCATGTCTAGCGGAGCTTTACAAAGAGCAAAGAAAAGCAGGACCTTAGTGCCAGCATTAACACCACCATTAGCGTACAATTCTGGGAAACTTTCGGAGCTAGTGTTTACTTATTACTGCACATGAAATAAATTTTGCATGTGCCCCCAAAACTGTGTGAGCACAGTATTTAAAAACACGGTATGTATATACAGTAAACATTGCTGTAAGCTTTCCTCTACCAAACAGATACGTTTGTTGAAGAGCTTTTAGTGCCTACTCCTCTGTTTCTCGGGTTTTCTACAGTTTCAGAGGGCTGTACTAACATTAGCCTCCAGTCCAGTTACATTAGACTTTTTACTGAACATTTTTCATTGGCAGGGATCCTACCCTGAAGACCTTTTTTCTCCAACCACCTCCGACTACCCTTCCTCTTGATCACCTACCTCCCTTTTATTTGCCTTTAAACAGATAATGGGATGAAAATAATGTGTTACTTCTGTTATTGTAATAATGTATCTGCTATCCTCAGCTACATTTCTTTGTGGCCATAGGGAGAAGGGCTTTCTTTTATATTGCCTGGGTCTAATAAATGGAGTAAGAATGGACTACTCTGTTAACAAACCTGGGTTCCAATTCTGTTTTTTTTTTTTCTTTTAAAAAATAACAATACAATCTAAATACAAATCCATCTATTTCACTGTAGTCAACCAGAGAAATTGAATCTTAGGACTAGTTATAAAAGCACAGGTATTTCTACTTGTTCAAAATAGCTGAAACATTTTAGGAAACTTTATGAATGAAAAACCTGAGGAAGTAATGAGGTAGATAGATTCTACATTTCA